TTTTTTTTTTTTTTTTTTTTTTTGGAAAATTTTTTTATAGAATTTTGACTATTTTGAAATCTTTGAAGATTTAATTTGATGGAATAAAAATCTATAATGATATGATTTTAATTGGTTCTCGATGAAAGTAAGCGATAAATCTCGAGAAGGAAATTTTAGATAATAAAAGAAAGAATCGAATCGATCAATTTTTGGAAACGTTGAATAGTATAATGATCGATAAAATGATATGTGAAAGTAGAAAAATATAAAAATATACGTAAAGAAGGAGAAAGAGTTATCGATTATAAAATTCAAGAATATTTCTCACGGTATTAACGCGTATTTTAAAATTCGACACAGGTTACGCTCATTTGTCGATAAATTGTTAAGTGTTGCTAAATACAGTGTCGCAGCTGTTTCACGGTAGCGCGAGAATTTTTGAGCAAATGGTGTGGCAAGGTAAAACACTCTGTTTATCACGAGTAACTGTTCATTAAACGAACTGATGAATTATTTGCCGATAATGCTTCTTTGAAGTAATCATTCCGAGTTTCATTACTGAATCATTATTGAAGCTTATGATATAGCCGATGGATGCAGATGACCGGAAGCTGATTGATTACCGGCCACAATTCAAATATTCAGGTTACTTGAGCCAATTTCTTTTTTTCCAAGTTTCGCATAATGAAGAGGCGATAATTTGAACGATCAATGATACTTTTTATTTGCGAGTAGAAAAATCGCAAATATTAATCTGTCAGAAAATAATTAATTGCAGATACAATTTTTTAATTTTGCGAAATCATATACGATGCCGCAAAAAAATAATTACTATAACCTCTTTATATTATGTGATAATTAATATAACCTCTTTACATTATGTGATAATATAACCTCTTTACATTATGTGATAATTAATATAACCTCTTTATATTACGTGATAAAATTGTAAAGAATCAAGAACGAATTGTTGAATTGATGGTTATTCGAAAAAAAAAAAAAAAAAGAAGAAAAATAGATCTAGTTTCTTAAATTAATCTTCGATTATATTTGAAAATCTATACAATTTCATTATCAATCTGTACAATATTGTACATCAGCATGTATATAAAAGGAAAATTAGATAAAAATTATATTGTTATGAATATGGATTAATAATTAATAACCTAAAATTATTCCAAGAACAGGAGTCAAGAGTTAAAGGAAATATAATTATCTCGCCGTTAAAAATTAAATATTCTTTATAAGAACATACGATCCAATATAGTTAGATGAAGATCATATGAAAATGAACGTAACAAGATCGAGTATTGAACGAGAAGTACGCCGCATAATTAACTTTCATTGGTAAAGTGAAAGGCTATTATTTGGTAATAAACTGGGCGTCGTAATGATACGAGAACATAACAGTTTCGCGTTTCTTTTAACGCGTATCCTTGGCAAACGACCATCGATAATGGCGCAAACAAACTCGCTCTGATCCTCTGATCAAGCGATTAATTACAAAAGTCGAAGGGGCACGTCGTCGTTGATCCCAAGATGAATGCCAATCTTTTGTGTCTTTTCCATTGTTCGCGCGTATAAACATCCCTAACAGTCTTCAATGGAGAATCTTTTCATGCGCTTCCCCGTATGAATCTTCTTCCCCCTATCGTGCATATCGTCTTCCTTCTACGCAAACGATCCGATGAAATCGCAACGGTCGTTTCTCGATGATGGAGAATAGGACTAGGTCAACGGAAACGAGCTAGTAGAGAGTCCAGGTATGGATGGGCAGGTGTCGATGCGATTCGAGGACGAAATAAACACGATTTCAGCTTTGATGAAAGGACTTGGCTTTTGGGGAGGCGAAAGTGGCGAATGTCGTGAAGAATTTACGGATTAAGAGAGAATAGAGATTGTTTGGATTAGAAATATCGAGGGATGAAGGGAATGATGAATAAGTTTTTACAATTTTGAAACTGAAAGATTAGGAGAGAGAAAAAAATGGCACTTTTCCAAGGTAAAAATATTCAATGATGTTTAATAATCGTTTAAGAAGCTCTGAAAATATGATTAATGTATTTTCCAACTTTTCCACAGAATAGAAGAAACATAGTCTTTGAAAAACGTCACCAAAGTTCCTTGAACGCAAATCGATTCGAAACAACGCTCTTTTTGTTCCAAGTTAGATCTGTTGGAGATTAGAAGAGAGAAAAAAAGGCAAGGGAATGATGAATAAATTTTTAAAATTTTGAAACTGAAAGATTAAGAGAGAGAAAAAAATGGCATTTTTCCAAGGTAAAAATATTCAAACGTTTAATAATCGTTTAAGAAATTCGCTCTGAAAATAGGATTAATGTATTTTCCAATTTTTCCACAGAATAGAAGAAACGTAGTCTTTGAAAAACATTCCCAAAGTATATCTCTGAACGCAAATCGATTTGAAATAATGCTTCTTTTGCACCGAGTCACGATTGTTAGAAGAGAAAAAAAAATGGCACTTTTCTAAGGTAAAAATATTCAAAGTTTAAGAAGTTCGCTCTGAAAATATAATTAATATATTTTCCAATTTTTCCAGAATAGAAGAAACGTAGTCTTTGAAAAATATTCCCAAAGTATATCCCTGAACGCAAATTGATTTGAAACAATGCTCCTTTTGCCTTGAGTCAGGATTGTTAGAAGAAAAAAAAAAATGGCACTTTTCCAAGGTAAAAATATTCAAAGTTTAAGAAGTTCGCTCTGAAAATATGATTAATATATTTTCCAATTTTTCCACAGAATAAAAGAAACGTAGTCTTTGAAAAACGTCCCCAAAGTTTATCCCTGAACGCAAATCGAAACAACGCTCCTTTTGCCCCGAGTCAGGACTGTTGGAAACGACCGTTGCGCTGTCAGCAACGATGACGAAGAAGAAGATCAGGGGAAGACAAGAGGTATACGGAGCCCAGACAGTGATTCAAAAGATGCTCGGTACTTTTGGGGTGTCTTGCAGCTGTTCCTCGCCCTCTACCTCCCCGACTTCGGCTAACGCTCGATCATCTTCTTTCTTATCTGCGAGTCGTGCAGAAGCATGAAATTTCGTCAATCTGAGTGCTCGATCGTTGCGTATACATAGAATCTCGAGCATTTGGAGCAAATGCATCCTTTCGTATCCTCTCGTGCATTCGTGATTCACCACGACCGATCTCGAGGTACTTGTCTAGCTTTTCACAATCTGGAAATATGGCCGAAAGGAATAAATGAAAAAAATGAAGTGTGAATAATTTGAAAAGAGTTATGGTGAGTCGAAGAAAGAGGATATGAATTTTCTTATCGATGTAATAACGTTAAACAATATTTTGCGATTTTGTTGTAATATTCGAATTAAATTTTTTATTACGCGTTTTCAGAAATATATTTTTATCGCTTCCGATTCATCTCGCCTCCCTCTAAAGAATCGTGGGATTCCATCCAAAAAAACAGCCGATATCTACAATCTTCCCTTGCAAAGGTTACATAAGAGTCGTCGAAGGAAGCGGAAAGGGAGGGAGGAATAAGAACGAAGAAATGGCCGCCGGAACGTCGTGGAGAGATTTGGCAAAGGATTCGACAAAGATTCCCAGAGGATCTGAGGAGGGCGCAAGGAGAACGACAGATTGCTGGCTTCGATCGGGACAGCAATCGAAGTAGTTTGCCAGCCGGTCGACTCGTTTCTTTCACTGCCTTTCGTTTACTCCGCTTCACGACTGACTCCTTTCTGTCGGCGAGCTTTCCACCCTGCAAGACCTTCTGGGCCAACAGAAGACCTACACTCCATCTCCTTACTTCTCCACCCGACTATCTCTTCCTTCTTCACACGCTTCTCTTAAAAATTTTTTTCTCTTATACATAAATTCTCTTCATTTGATTCTTATGTGATTACAAAACAAAAGTCATGATTAAGAGAATATGCATGTGATCAATAATATTGATTATTATCTCTACAGTTTTGCAATGATATTTTCAATCTGTTTTTATCTTATCAATATTGACAATATTATTGATCATATGCCAGCTTCTTAGAATTCACTTGTAAACCTACTCATAAATATATATATTATTTATAGCATACAAATTTTCTTCAAATAACCAACACGCACAATTGACAAATTTCTTTCAACCCTTTCTCGCGTATCGATCACTCCCCTGGAAGGAAGGATGTGGCAGACGATAGAATTACTAGAAGAAGCAAAAAAAAAAAAAAGGAGAAAAATAGGGATAAAAAAAACTTTAGAAATCTCACGTCATGGAAGAGGAGGAGGGTTGAACAACCCTACGGGATCTTCTTTATTAAGCTCTGGAGACTTATTCTTGGTGCCAGACGGCATGCTGTAAAAAAGGGGGAAGACGTCCTGGCAACCCTTTCCCCAGGAAGACGCCAGTCCTAGTTTATGATCTTTCCACTTTCGTTTTCCTGCTTCTATATCCGTACATAGCACGGGAACGCTTCCAAAGTATAGTAAGCGCGATTCGATCGAACTCTTGGAATTGCTAAATGGATTGAAATCATTGACCTTGGTGGGCGAGGCTCCCCGAAGACAACGCCTTGAAGTCAGCGTTCTATGCACGCGAAATAAAATCAAGTCGTGAATTTTAAATCTATATTTTTGAAAAGTAATATTCATTTTATTTTCTTCTTTTTTAATTTTTTGAATTCTTTTCAATTCTTTCTTATTCTTAATCTCTTTTACTTCTTTTTTATTTTATTATCTTTTTTATAAATATTATCTTATTACTTCTTTTTATCTATTTTATTATATTTATATATAATTTTTTGAATCTTTTTCAATTCTTTCTTATTCCTAATCTCTTTTACTTCTTTTTTATTTTATTTAG